GGAGTGAACTGAGAAATGCGTTCACTTGGCCTGTGGCTCAAACCAGGGAGCAGGAGTAATGGACCGTGGTCGGCGTTTTCCGTCAGTTCTACAACTGTTACAAAAGGTTTCGACTCCCATTAGTCTTTAGACCTCTTTCGCGTCTTCCTATAAAGTGTGCTAGAAATTTTATCTAATCCATTTTAACCCCCACGCAAAATATATTTCTTGATTTTCCTCAAGCCTACTTACATTCGTATCAGCATGTCCGTGTGTTGGCATCACTGACTTTTCAATCAACTGACCACGTCTCATGACACTTCATAGCATAAAATCGCGTCAATGGAACCTACTCCAATTTTTATTATTTTTATTTCCATAACTCTTACTTCAGAAGCTGGTAGTGTCTTATTTGGTCAAGAAATTTTACAACCTTTACGGAACCAGAAAGTTCATTACCGTGCTCACAAGAGCCCACCACTGGACCATATTTGAGTTCAGATGAATCAAGTGTAAATACACGTAATATCCGTTTAGAATTCCGTGTCCCTCTGTCTACGATTATGTCTGAAAGTGCTGCCTTCTTCAGGTATGCGTGTTCGCTTCTCTAGAAATCCTTTTCTTTGACCATCTTAATATAGCTGATGATGTGGTATTCGTGGAGTTGCATCTCTGTTCCTCCACGAGTGTTTCGCGTAAGAAAACGTTGCCATCGTCCTTTATATATTGTCCAGTAAAGTAAAATTTCGATATTGTGCACCCCAATTAGCCACCCTCCCCAATAAGTTTTCGAGCACAAACTACTTAGGTTCTATTTGTTTCTTACGACCCTGAAATATAAATTTATTATTGTCAACGTACAGTGCCTTCTAAAAATAACTACCACCCTTTCTGTCACAAAAATTTGAATGACTAAATGTAAAGTTAGTTTATTGAAAGAAAAAAAAGAAAGAAAAATTAATTTTGTCCAGAGTCTAGTGTTCATCACGTAGAAAGAGTCAGTGCAGCAATTTAACTTTTACAGTTCGCATTTCTCATTCGTTTCTGCATTTCTCTCCCCCCACCCCCCAATCCCAGCGTTTGCCCCAGCCAGAGAGGGATGAAGCTAAGGCGTGATGGCGGAGGCCGAGTCTTTTGGTCTTCTTCTTCTTCTTCTCTTTTTCCTCCATTTCCCCCCCC